CAACATTATCAAGATGAATTTTCTTAATTGGATAATTAAAAAAAATAAACTCTTAGTTGGATTAATTAAAATAACAATATCATAAATGTCAGGTTACGAATCTAAAACAAAAAAACATGTGACATCTAATTGATGCATCAATTAAAATTATAAAATATTTTAATGGTTCACATGGTTGGTGTATTAGTTTACAATTATCACCCTAAATTTGTTCTAAAAATATAAAAGTTTCCTTCCCAATTATCCTAATGATATTGACTTCCATTGGAAACAATTAGGACATAATAAATTATTACATTGATGAATCTTCTGACTCTTTAATAAGCGTTCATATAAATTTTTTATTATTTTCGCATCATAGTAGACTTGAGATGGTTTTACTGGTCATGTCACTAGTACAAAAGAGGTATTCCACGTCGGTTATTTTGAGCTTTTTACGTCAGAAAAAATACTAACGTTAATGCGGGAAACATAAATCTACGTCGGTCCTGTAAAACCGACATAAATTTACGTTGGACATTACCAAGGTCCGACGTAAAAAAGTAGTAAAAAAACAAAAAAAAAACATAATGAGTGCAAGCAGAACGTCCCGTTCTTCTTGTAAAACGGCCCATTCTCCATTCAAAACAGCACGTTCTACAAGGAGAACGGGTCGTTCTGCTTGGAGAACGGGTCGTTCTGCTTCGTAGAACAACCCAGAAGAAAAGGCCAGTAACCTATACAAATAGAACAACCAAAAAACTGAATAGAATAGATAGCCACAATAGCAATGTGAATCAAAAAGGTGTTAACGAAACCTTGATTCATACCTGATGAGCTACAACAGTGTGCGAATGAGTAACAAAGAGTTAACCCCACTCTGCAAAAGACAAAAAAATGATTCAGTAACAAAGGAGAGGGAGAGGGTTTACAGAGAAAAAAACGAAAAATGATGAAGAGTGAATGCGCGCGGTGTGCCTCGCACTCTCTTATTCAATTTCGCGTCCTTTTTTTACGTCAGACCCTACTAGGTCCGACGTAAAAAAGTTCGCGAAAATTACAAAAATGATACCGCGTCTTTTTTACGTCAGATTTTAGTGTGTCCGACGTTAAAGAGGTGACGTAATATACTAATTTTTCACTAGTGTGTCAAATAATAATTTTTTTTTTATTTGTAAACTTTTCGTTAACAAGTAATATATGTATAATACAAACCATAGAAAAAATAATAACTTTTCTAAAATATATTTCTTATTCAAGTAAAATTTCATGATCTCACAATACTTTTACATTTTCTTGAACTTAATAAGTTTCTACAAGACTCAAAAAAATATAATACATTTATGTAACTTTGTTCCATTAGTTAACTATATATTAACTCTTCAAGAACCTTCAATTATTTTTTGTAGTACTATATAACATTAACTTCTCACATTATTGAATATGAGAAGAAAAACATCAATACATTGTTACATTCATTTTGAGGAATGAAACAATATTAGTTGAAATGGTCTCATGTATAAAAAAAAAAAACTCAATATTTTGTTTAGTCTTCAAGTGACAATAAACCAACTTAGGATATTTCGTATTTTTTTTAATATTGTTGCTTCAGGAGCGAAATAGGTGTATGAAAAATATAGTATATTTTTCTAACATATTTTTCAAAATTGAGGAATTATTGTAAAAATGACATTTCTCTTGATGTATCTTTAAACATCAATTTTATCCTCAAAATCTACACTGATTTTTTTATACTATAACGATATGTATAATCTAAAAATAAATGCTTGGTACAAAAAAAAATTATTTAGAAAACATATTTCGATATCGCTTTACTTCATAATTTTGGGAAATGAATGATTTGATATAAACACATAATAAACAAAATAAACATATAAAAAAAGTGAAACTTTCTAACTATGATAATAAAATAATTTAAAAGATCATTTAACAAAAAATATATTTATGCCATTCCTAAACTGATTTTAAGAGAAAAATAAATAATGCTAAAAGTTAGCAGAATTATTCTTCCTATAAATGTTATATCAAAAAAATTAAGAAAATAAAAGTTGATCATATTTTCATTAAATTCTATTACTCATGTACAAATCATAATCAAATTATAATTACATTATTATGAGTAATATGCGTTGATTGATCTCTCCACCGATAATGAGTAGTGATATAATAATAAACATATAAGTAAACACATAACACCAATTCCATTAATAGGCTTTGAAACTAATAGCAACACAGAAATTCAATTACATAACATGTTATTTATTTCAACCAATTCAATTAGGAATAATATCAAATTACAAACGTAGGAAGCTTATAACCCCTTCAAGAAATCACATAGAAACCTTAAAAGGTTTAGTGATCGTTTCACTATCCACGATTTTTATAATTGTTTCAAATATCATTTAACATTGTAACTATGATCTTGATAAAATTATTCGACTTCTAGTGGTGCCCTTATTTATATTAAATGATTAAGCATAATATTTATATAATATTTCTTACTTTATCTATTGTTTTCTTTTTCACATTTCGAACAATGTTTTCACTTTTGGTCAAAATTATTGTCTTTTTGCTTTTAGTATTATTTTCAAAAATTTTAAAAGTTTGCAGACTTGATCTATGCATTAAGAATTTTAAATTCAACGTCCGATCTGAAAGATCCATTTATTTCACGAATAAGTCTACCTACACTTACTTATTTCAATAATATATATTTTACATTAAATTTCAACAATCTAACCATTACAACTAAATTTTTAATACATAGATCAAGTTTGTAAATTTTTTAAAAAATTCAAAAGATTATCCTGAAAATTCCTAATCACTCACATTTAAAAAAGACATTATTTATACTCTTGGAATTTTTCTTTTTTTATTATTTTAAATTAGCTATGAAATTTTATTATAATATGACATATTATTTATTATCCATATTATTAATAAAATTATGTAACTTAAAGATATGTATGTAAATATTAGATTAAATTGCACTTGTGATCTCTTAATAATATAAAATCTGTAATTTTGGTCTCTTAAATTTTAAATTAACAATTTTAGTTCTTTAATTCTATAAAATTCACAATTTTTTCTCTCGCGACATATGCATTTGTTAATTTTTAAAATTATAATATTTGTCGTGACCTAACATTAAATAGATAACAAGATAATTAATATTTAATAATATTTAAACTAAATTATATTTTTAGTTCTTTTTTTCATTTTTTTCATCTCATTTCACTATTTTTGTGTGATAAAAAAGAGAGTTAAAAGTAAAATTTAGTTTGAATAATATGAAATTTTAATTGTTATGTCAACTATTTAACTTTTTTAGGTCATGTTAACATTGTAATTTTAAAGATCAATAGATGAACGTTCATCGAGGAAATAAATAAAATTTTATAAAACTGAGAAACTAAAATTATTAAAATAAAAAATAGAAGGAACGAAATTACAAATTTGACATTATTGGGATCAAAATTTACAATTTAGCTAATATATTAATATAAATCATATACCAGAACTTTTATTTAAAATATTATTCATTCAAATTAAAAATTATGATTTTGCATCTGCTTTAGACAATAATGTCAAATTTCGTAAAAAAGTTATAGTTAACGAGATATTTTTGATAAAAAAAATTTGTGAGATCATGTTTGAATTTTTTCATATATAGTCAAATTAAACAAATGTCAAAAATATAAAACACATGTTTATTTTTTAATTGAATTAAAAAGTAAACTATGAATAAGTATAATTTCAAAAGGTGTATAATTCTTGAAAAGATCCTATATATTCCTAATCAACAGGTCATTAGAACACATAGACCAACTTTAACATAATATATAAACAAAATCATCTGATCAATTATAATAGCAGCCCTATTTGACTTAATAGAATCTTAACAAATCCACCTTATATGCTCTATAGTTGTTAAAGTGAGCATAGTGATCATTATGATACTTTTGTTCCACGATTACATTTACTCATGATAGTACTTTTTAATAACAATACATAAATTGCTGTAAAAAAAAATAACAATGCATAAAATTTTAAGATAAGTTATAGGATTCAATCATGAAAGTTTTTAATAATTATTCAAATAGCTTGATTGAAGATGTCTTAGATTTTATAACGTTGGAACCCAAACCACACTTAAAAAGTTGAAGATGCACTATTCCTATATATTATTGGAATCCTCCATATCGAGGCTGTTTGACAGGTGGAGTGCACCAGTAATTTTTTTTATATAAAAAAACGCGTGGTAATGATTTATTTTTATTCAAGAAAATGTGTAAAAAAACAGAAAATCATTTTAATTTATTTCAGAAATATTTATAAAAAAACTAAATAAGAAAAAAAATTATTTTATTTTTGAAATAAAAAATATATTGTTTTACATTCATTGTATTATGAAAGGTATAACGATGTTTTTTTATTGACTTTTAACTCATTCTTTTTGTATTCTTTCTAAACTGAAAAAATAAAATAAAAATTTAGATATGATGTATAATATTTTTTATGAGTTAATCACTTATACATTGTCAGTATAAAAATTTTTTTATATTGACAATCAATTATATTTTTTAATAATGTCATGTCAATTGTTTATTTAATGAAATAAAGATAAAATAAAATAATTTAAAAAATTTGATTGGTTATCAGTATAAAAAAATTTATGGATAATGTGTATGAGTAAGAATGATTAACTCATTATTTATTTCCTATCTTATTTTCTTGTCCACCAAATTGAGGAAAGTTTTTTTGAAAGGTGGCATCCCGTTCTACCAAATATATAAATTTCTTCACAGACCGATGACTTTGACTGACGTTGTTTATTTTTTTAATCTCTTTTGACGTTAAATAAGAGAGAGAGAGCAGAAAAAAAATTGTAACTACTACTTGTAGTTGTGACTTGTGACGTTTCTGGGGAAAAAAAAATTGCAGTGATCATGAAGGCTTTGAATCAACAGCAATAATTTCGTAAAAAATTGTTGTATGAGTTATCATAAGCATTAAAGCATATCATTGCTCATTCATTTCACGTTAAGGACAAGCAACCAGAACATTTTATTGGAACACCTGAAGAGCAAAAGACAGTCTTGTCCCCAACCACCTTTATTTTTTCCTGAAAAACCACAACCACAAGAATTTGCAAATCAACAAGGACTCAACTCAAGATTGAAGGCCATTGACAAAGAGAGAAGCAAAGGCTTCCATGACCTCTTTGTTGGACACAAAACCAATCTCAACCCCATCACCACTTCTGCAATCTGATAAACAAAACGCCCCAGTTCTGTCTATAGACGCCATCTCCACCTTCTTCGGTCTTCCCCAACCAAAGTCATTACCATAAACCTCAAACTTAGGAGACCCAGCAACGCCAATTATCCTCGCATCGGCGTTAAACCCTTCAAGCAACAACGATGACCAATTTTCTGCCCCAGTCAACGCTCCATCTTTTAGAGTTTCCAAAGCATCACTAAGTGCTTCCACTGCCACGAGTATACCATCTTCCGCCAACAGTTTTTTTGTTTCAACAGTAGCAAGTCTCGCCCCAACGAAGTTCCCAAAATAATTTGCAGGCGTAAGTGGCTCCAAACGACCCCTGCAATCGACATTCAAAGCCAACACAAAGCTTTTGTTTTTTGTTTCTTCTGCCCTCACTCTGCAAACCGAAACATAGGCCACACATAACACAAACGTTGACAGGCGAAGGTTGGTGTTCCCTTTGTTCTTGGATAACACATACTGCTTCAGCTTCTCAAGATCCCAACGAGAGAGTTTGAACAAGCCTCTAGTGGAGTCTTCTGGGACCTGCATATCCCAAACCACGAGGCTTCTGTTGTTGGGTCCACCTTGCTTTAACCAATCACTGCAATATTTTGCCCCCAAATGATTAGCGTCTTTTACCACTTCTTCCCTTTCATAGAAAGGACAAAGTTCAGGTGGCAAAGAAGAGGATGATTCTCTACAAAGATAAGCCCATGATTTGATAAACGATGTTGAAGTTTTGCCATCTAGAACAGCATGGTGTGAGGTTATTCCAATGGAAAAACCACGGTTTGGAAATAGCGTAAGTTGTAAGGCTAAAATTGTAGCTTGTTCATGGGATATGGTCAAGTGGGGTATAAGATGGTGAATCTCTTTAGCTTCAATAAGATCCGAGGCAGCTAGATGGTTGAAATCAGCGTCAGATTCAGCTACAGTGAGGGACACAGAGTCACGAGTGTTGTAATTGATGATGGGCTTATCGGAGTGAAAAGGCCATGTGAGATGGCCCGCAAGAGGAAAAAAGTAACCTAATGCGAGAGAAAGAGAGTGTTTGAGTTTGGGAAGAAGGGTATCGAAGAAGAGTGGGGTTGGGTGAGGGAATTCGTAGAAGAAGATGCGTTCAACAGGAGGTAGCCTTAACCATAGTATGTCGAAGAAGGTGAGGGGAAGCGATGTTTGAGATGGTAACTCATGTGATTCCGAAGCTGGTGCTACGTTGAAAACTTGTACCACTTTCATGTTGGTTGGTGCAGACAAGAACAAAGGAGATGGAGATGGAGGTTGTTTTAAAGTTACGTTTTGATACCTTCATTCACGATTTCGTATGTAAATTAAGAATTTCATTATATTGGCTCTGATAGGAGTAACAGTCATGACTTCATATACCAATCAGAATTGAATCTCAGTTTTTATTTAAAAAAAAAAGTCAAATTATTGTTATTATTTTTTTAGAAATCATTATTCCAAAGTTGCCACGACTCGCTTAGTGGAAAGAAATTTCTTTGTTTAAATTATCAATTCCAATAAATATATTACACGTTGTGGCCATTCCATATCTAGGAATGTCAATTAATTAAGGACAAAGGGAAATTTAAGTCGGATAAGAATGAGTTAATTATCTGAAATAGTGACTTATGAGTTATATATGACCCTAATTAGTGGCGGAATTTAATTTGGATAAAAAAACTCGGAGATATCAAATTAATTTTTTTATATATAAATTAAATATTTTATTAATTAAAAAATAATAATTTTTCTTATTTTTTATTTATTTTTTTAGTTTTATTAAAATTAATAATATGATAATATATAAATATGATATTAATATATATATATATATATATATATAAGTATATATAAAAAAAAATTATAAAAGTTTAAGGGAATTGTGCCCCTATCATAATCAAGTTTCGACACCAACCCTAAATTATTTAGAACTAGTGCAAATGATTTGGTTTAGCCACCTACTTTTGTGTTGGGGAATAACATCACAATCTACTTTCTTTTATAAGTGTGCTTTATTCAAATCATTTTGATTTTTTAAAATTTAATTTATACTTGGACGGTTAGGCATAAATTCCTAACAAGTATAAAGTGTAAAATATCTCAAACTCGAAATATCAAATTTTACTTAATATTTCAAAAGTTTTCCTTAACAGTGTCACATCACGTCGTCTTAAACTCAGTTTTTATCCAATTTTCACTAAATTTCTTGAATAACAATTAATTGTGGTAGTCAAAATATCACAAGTTTGTGAGGACTCGATGTATCTCATCTAAGATGAACTTATATAAAATTCGTGTACAATTTTTCTTTTCTTATCTTTTTACTTGTTTTTTTTTTTTTATCTTACTACATCTTACATTCTATTGCTACATAATATATTTTGAAAACAAAAAAACTCAGGAACTATTTTTAGAAAAATACTCTAAATTTCAATATTAATAAGATCTATCTTTTGAGAAAAAAAATTCATAAAAAATTGATTTTAAAGAACAAAATAATTCAACTCTCCATTCTTATAATCTAACATTCACTTCAATATTTGGATAAAAAATAATAATGTGATAGAAAATCAAATTAATCTAATGTTAAAAATAGGAAAACTCGATAAACTTGAGTTTTTTTTTTAATTTTTATTTTCAATTTTCCGAAATGATACACATTCTGAAATGATACACATTCTAAATTAATAGAAAAAAGATGAATTGAGACTCTAATGATAAAAGCTATCACAATCACCAAGCTAGGGTGGCCATGGCTAGGTTTAATAGAGTATTTTTATATTATTTTTGCTTTTAATAATAAAAATGCCATTTTCCCACTTTATTTGTTAAGAGTTTCAAAGGTCAAAAAATAATACTATTTCAAATTAGAAGGAATAAAATTAAAAAAAATAAAGACTAAAATTAACTTTCGAAAATTTTAAATGGAGTAATAATACATTTTACTCTTAAATTAGTATTTATTTGCATTGCTATTCAATGTAAGTAAGACCCTTCCTTTTTCTTTTCTTTTCTTTTTTACTAAGAAACCATTATCTCCTTGCTATGGATCGATATATTTTAGTCCAAGTATTTCCAATTCATAAATGTCATGCCATACATATCTGTATATTATAAAGAATATCATCTCTTTATTGCTCTAATTCACTTTAGATGTTCAAAAATATGCAACAAACTATTTATGTACTCCATTTTTATTTAGATTCTGTTTTTTTTTACCTCATTTGAATAATATTATATATATATATATATATATATTATGTAAATTTTAGTTTATGATCAATTATTTCCATTTAATTTTTTATAATATTTAAAACGTAATATTGATGCTTTCTATTGATTAGGAATCGTAAATTTTCTTACAGAAGTGACAAAAAAAATAGTTATTTTTTTTACGGTTTAAAATCATTAGAATATATAAAATGACGAATCATGTCTTGTGTATGCAGCCGTGTTAAATCTTGAGGTCAGCTATCTTGCCCTTTGAGATATCTCCAACGTAGCGAGGAGATTAATTACTGCTATCGTGATGGATACTCCAGGAACGAATATATATATATATATATATATAAAATGGCGATCTGCATTTGTTGACAGTTTTTATCTGCCAAAAAATGATAAATATAAATAGAATGAAAAAAATATTTTTTGCCGGTTTACACCGCAATGTGTTTTATTCAATTGCTATTCCGGTATTAAATAACGCTCCTACGTAGAAGAAATATAACAGGCATATATAGAGAATATTTATCAGTATATTTCATAAAGCTCTAGATGTTTTTCTTTTGACAACTAAAGTCTGAAGCTCTACATGTCATATGTATATTAAATATAAATTTTTATCTTGCACAAAAGTTTTTTTAGAAATTTTATTTGATAAAAAAGATTTTAATTTTTTTATTTAATTTAGTTTTTATTTATCATATTTAATATTTTAAATTAAATTAATAAATAAAAATAATATCTTGCTATAATATTTATTTATGCAAAATTTAAATATGATTTATATACTCAAACATAATATTTATTATTTATATATAATTTATTATAAATTTTAGTTATATATAATAAATATTTTGTCTATGTCATAAGGTAAAATAATAGTTAATATAAATTAGTGTACTTAAATAATAAAATAACTATTAAATTGTAACAATTTAATTTGTTGCACAATAAATTTTAAAGTTGCTAAACAATAAAATGAATATGTAGTTTATACCTATATATAAAGGGGTATATGAGTTTATAACCGCTTTTTGGTCTTCATATTTTTTTAGAGAATTTTATTCTTAAATATTTAAATAATAAAAAAATAATATTAAAAATTAATCATTAATGTAACCATTCAAATAAGTTTACTATTTTTAATCACTCAAATTCTTAATTAATTTTATTACTTGATCTTAATTTTTATTTTATTTTAAAATTTTAAATAATATAAAGATAAGTGCCTTGATTATATTAGTTAATAATAATAATAACTCTTCTAAGTGAGTTTATTGGTTTAGATTAGTCAGTTGAATTCAATGATCCAATATAAACCAATTAAATTGGTTTGGATTTTTTTGTTAGGGTTAGATCAGTACCAAGCCAATCAAAATCTAATATTGATTGGTTCAATTATTGGAACTACAAAAAAATGTTCCATATAGTGACATACAAAAAGTGTTACTATAGGTATAATATATGTAGGTATATACCTATTTGACATATAGCTACATACAATTTTAGTGTTGATTTTGAATAAGATTTAACAACATATTTTATGTGTCACTATAGTCTATACTTACACTCTTTAACAATATACCAACATATATTATTATTTATTGTGTGGGTAAAAGTAATTTTTAGTAACAAGTATTGTGTCACTATAAGGTGTGTGTCACTATACGACAACTTTCTTGTACGTAAATCACACTTTTAAAATTTGAACTAACTCAAAGTAAATTAAATATTTATATATTATTTTTTTATTAGTTAATATAGTAAAAATTGTGTGTCACTTTGAAATATTTTTTTATATTTCAATTTCAAATTCAAGATTTCATTTCACAATTGAAAATTTTATTCCTTTTAGTTAATTTTCTTTCTGGGATTATAAATGAACTAGTGATTTAATTAATTAATTATTTTTATTTTGTTTATGATTTATATTATTATTTAATTAGTGTAAGTCAATTATGCCCAAATTTACAATTTACATTCTTTTATGATAATATTATTTATCATATTTTAGATAAAATTATTTTTATTTTTATTTTTTAAAATAGATTTTCTTTTAAAAAAATAATTAGATATTCAATAAACTGACAAGAACCAACCCATTCAACATCTGGTTGGTTTGGTTCGAGATAATAAAAATTCTAAAATTCAAACCAAATCAAACCAATTAAAATTAATTTGTTTAGATTTTATTTTTTCTCAAATTCAAATCAACCCTGAACACTCCTAAACTCTTCTAACAAATTTGGTGTACAAAATATCTCAAATTATATTTTATAAAATAAATTAAACAAATAATGCATTTGTTGCACAACAAATCACATATTACTCACATAAGAAATCTTGTATTACTTATTTAAACATAACAATAATAATAATAATAATAATAATAATAATAATAATAATAATAATAATAATAATAATAATAATAATAATAATAATAATAATAATAATAATAATAATAAATTGGGTGAGCCAAGGGACCAACCCGCTTCAACTCACCATTTGACCTAATAAGCTAATGGAATGGACCAGACAATATAAGATAAACTTCGTCCACCAATTTTTGACAGACCAACAAAATGACTTGTAAGATAAAACCTGTTTCATCATATATATATATTGAAAAAACTTGAATATTAATAGAAAATTTTATCTCTTTTAGTGTGCAATTTTTTTTCACAGTTTTTATAACTACTCTCAAATTACTCTTTCTTTTTGCACTAGTTTTATTTAGTATTTGTTTTGTACTTTTACTTTTCAAAACTATTAAAAAAATACTTTTACAACTTCTCAATAATGATTGTTCATCTTCTAATTTATACTCTTCATTTTTATTTTATTTTTAAAATATACAAAAATACGAAATAACTTTTTTATGTTAGTATTTATAATATTTTATATTTTTTGTTCGCTTTGTATCTCTTTCCATTGGATAATCTATCTTATTTAACATTTTCATTTATTCTTTTCTCTTATTTGCATGATATATATATATATATATATATATATATATATATATATATATATATATATATAACATCTATTGTATCATACCTTCAGTATAATGCTCAACCTAATGGTAGGGTGTCATCGGAAAAATTATAAGCTTGTAAGATATTTATAATCATAATCTTGTAAAATATTATTTAAAATTACAACCACAATGGTTTTCTTACACCATAAGTATTTACAATCATAATCATAATCAATTATTGTAAAATATTATTTAAAATTTTAATTTACAATTAAAAAATAATAATACTAAATTACATGCATATTGATTAAGATCATTGATTAAGAAATACAATTAAGATCATTGATTAAGAAATACAATTATAAACACCCTTGTCAGCCGAGAGAAGCTTATCCAAAACGGAGAAAGAAAAAGCCCAGAAAAGCAAAAGACTAATAACACCTGCATCTGGTTTTTCCTTGTTTGGACCAAACAACTTAAGAAGTCATGGAAGTGGTACAAGTTTTCAACATAGCACCTACTTCGGAATCACAAGAGCTACCATCTCAAACATCGCTTCCCCTCACCTTCTTCGACATACTATGGTTAAGGCTACCTCCTGTTGAACGCATCTTCTTCTACGAATTCCCTCACCCAACCCCACTCTTCTTCGATACCCTTCTTCCCAAACTCAAACACTCTCTTTCTCTCGCATTAGGTTACTTTTTTCCTCTTGCGGGCCATCTCACATGGCCTTTTCACTCCGATAAGCCCATCATCAATTACAACACTCGTGACTCTGTGTCCCTCACTGTAGCTGAATCTGACGCTGATTTCAACCATCTAGCTGCCTCGGATCTTATTGAAGCTAAAGAGATTCACCATCTTATACCCCACTTGACCATATCCCATGAACAAGCTACAATTTTAGCCTTACAACTTACGCTATTTCCAAACCGTGGTTTTTCCATTGGAATAACCTCACACCATGCTGTTCTAGATGGCAAAACTTCAACATCGTTTATCAAATCATGGGCTTATCTTTGTAGAGAATCATCCTCTTCTTTGCCACCTGAACTTTGTCCTTTCTATGAAAGGGAAATAATCAAAGATCCCAACGAACTAGAAGCAAAATATTGCAGTGATTGGCTAAAGCATGGTGGACCCAACAATAGAAGCCTCGTGGTTTGGGATCTGCAAGTTCCAGAAGATGCAATTAGAGGCTCATTCAAACTCTCTCGTTCGGATATTGAAAAGCTGAAGCAGTTTGTGGTGTCAAACAAGAAAGGGAACACCAACACCAACCTTCGCTTGTCTACGTTTGTGTTATCCGTTGCATACGCGTTGGTTTGCAGAGTGAGAGCAGAAGAAGTAAAAAGTAAAAGATTTGTTTTGGCTGTCCCCGTTGATTGTAGGCGTTGGTTGGAGCCACCTCTTCTTCCAACGTATTTTGGAAACTGCATTGGGGCCAAATTTGTCATTGTTGAAACAATAGAATTGGCAACAGAAGAAGGAGTGGTTGTGGCTGTGGAAGCACTGAGTGAAGCTTTGGAAACTGTGAAGGACGGTGTGCTGAATGGAGCGGAAAATTGGTCAACGAGGATGCTTGGGGGTCTCGTCACTGATGACAAGATAATTGGCACTGCTGGCTCACCCATGTTTGAGGTTTATGGTAATGACTTTGGGTGGGGAAGACCTAAGAAGGTGGAGATGGTGTCTATTGACAGAACTTCTGCGCTTAGTTTTTCTGATACCAGAAATGGAGATGGTGTTGAGATAGGTTTTGTGTCCAAGAAAAGAACCATGGAAACCTTTGCTTCTCTCTTTGCCAAAGGCCTTCAATCTTGAGTCACTCAGGTTCCATTGTTTCTGCATTGCTGGTGTTATTGAGAAATATTTGTAATTGGCTTGTTGATGATGAATTGTTTTCACACGAATGAGTGAGATACTGAGATGTGATAAGAAAATTATGTTTATTATAAAAGTTACAATTATTTTTGTATTGCATTACCAGATGATTATAGGATGTAAAATTACTCATTTTTATTATTACATTGCTGAGATGATTTCTGGAAGAGTAATGACACAGGGATACTCTTTATTTTGGGGAAAATAACTAGCAAGTTTGTATAATCAATTCGTACAAATTTTTTTTTATATAGATTAAATCTGTTTTGAATCTCTGAATTTTTGTTATATTTTTATTTTTTAAAAGTTTATTGTTAATTCTTTAACAATTTCTTTTTATTAATTTTAGTTTATTTTTTATTTTTTATTTTTTCACTTTTTGTCCTTAAACTTTTTTTTTAACATTCTAGTTTATCGTATTAAATTTTTTTGTTTATAGAGAAATTTTTTTGAGAATATCACCAAATAATCTATTCTTATTTTTAAATATAGATAAATGTTTCAAAATTATGGTTTCTTTTGTAACAATGTAAGTTTTATTAATTATTGTATTGTTAGCACTAATTATACACTAAAAAAAATACAAATTTTTGATGAAATTTTTTTGACAGATATGGATCTGTTTCGTCAAAACTTTTCGAAAGAAACTTTCCGAGGAAAATTTTGTCGAAAATTTTCGATAGAAAAATAAATCCGTCAGAAATTTTTGATGGAAAATTTTCGACAGACTTCCGACGGATTCTGTCGAAAATTAATTTTTTTTAATTCTTATTTTTAAGTTCTTATTTTTAATTTCTTATTTTTCATTCTTATTTTCATTCTCTAAAAATGGAATTTTTATTTTTAATTCTTATTTTTTATGTAATCATTTTTAACTACTTTTTATTTATAAAAAAAAGATAAATAATTATCTTAGGTGTCACCTACAACAATTACGTACTATTATCGTATTGATATTTAACACCTCTAAAAATTTTTTTTTGTTTTTTAAAATAAATATTATTTATCTACTTTAAAATAATCAAACTAGTGAATTTATATTTTAGAGGGATGAAAATCAAGGAAAAATATTTTACTCATTTTACAAGTAGGAAACAATCTTTATAAATCTTATAAGGATGAAAAATAAAGAAAAAAATTTACAAAGACTAAAATCAAAATCACTCATCTTATAGGGACTAAAATATATTTAAACCTTCTAAAATTAATATTTTCGATCTTAACAATTATTTTAAATAAATAATATTTATTTTTAAATATTTATAAACTACTTAGAGATGTTAGTATATTGTCTTTAAAATTATAGCAAGCAAGTTCAAGTGTGAATATTTTCATATTTGTATGTTTCATGAGTTTTCTATTAAATAATTAGTGCATATATTAGTTTATTTAACATAAATAGTAGTTTTATATTTTAGAAGAAAAAAAAATTTTTTTCTAGAAGTAATAAGCTTAAAATTACATATATATATATATATATATACTATAGGAGGTTATAATTATACCGGTGTAACTTTTACTAAGTATTACGCCGCTCAATAACTTTATATTAAATGTGAATTTTGTAAATTCAACCGTTAAATTGAAAGTTCATATCACTTTATACGTGTATATCAAATTTTTTTAAAATTGAACAACAACTGGAAGGTAATCAAAGTTTCATATTTTAGTGTATTTTGAAATGAATATATTATATCAATTTTGTTTTATAAAAATGAAGTATCAAATCATCTTGGATTAATATAAAATTTTGTATATATAATCTAAGAGATATGAACTTTTAATCTAACGGTTGTATTTACTAAATTCACATTTAATATAAATTTATTGAGCGGTGTAATACTTAGTAAAAGTCACATTTAATAACTTATGGTGTGTGTTAAATTTCATTGATCCAATTAATTGTTAAATTAAAAGTTATTAAATTTTACTAATAATTAATATAAAAAATTTAATTAGCTTTGGAATAAATTATTCGCTAATTAATAATATAATTGAAATATTAATTATTTTAAATTATTTAACTAAAATCTTATTGACAATTTATTATATGATCTTACTATTTTTGTATAACTAATATCTGCTTTTAAATTTCATATGAGAATATTATGATATAATTAGATAAGATTTAAAATTAGTATTTTATTAATGGTTGATAATTAGAAAATAAAACAAGGATAAATACATTTTTTGGATTTTATATGTTTGATTTAAGGTAAATAAATATATTAAATTAATTAATAATTTATTTAAAATGTTAAAATTTAATTTATAAGTATGTAATAAATAAATATTTATAATTTTATAAATTATATTATCATTATAAATTATAAAATTAAATAATTTAAATTATAATTTTAAATAGAAATAAGTAGATGTTAATTATAAAAGTAAGTACACATAAATAAAGAATAATTAAATATATTATTATTATTATTATTATTATTATTATTCGTAATATAAAATTATTATATATTATTATTATAGTACAAGTATGAGATTGTATATTTGAGGATGACTTAAATGAATTAATTTGTACAAGTTATACTGACAACATACATATACATTTCGGTAGCTTACTCATCAAAACTTTATAGTTAAGCGTGCTTCACCTGGAGTAATACAGGGATGGGTAGTAAGGATAAAACACGCTAAACAGTGAAATGTCGTGAAATAGAACCCTTGAGAGACTAAATATGAGGGTTGTTACATTAATAAATTTATTAAAATTAAAAAAATATATATTTTCCGACAGAATTTTCCATCAAAAAATTTTTAAGGAAAAAATTTATTTCCGACGGATTTTTGTTTCGACGCCACTTTTTTCGATGGATTTAAATCCGTCGGGAAAAAAAATCCGTCGAAAATTTACTTGTTACTGTCGAAAATTTTCGTGAGAAATCAACATTTTTCTTGTAGTGATATGTTGTAACACTTTTGGGTAATTTTTGCTATTCTTTGAGAATTAAGGAATTTTGATAAGATTTGGTGATTTAGAAGATTGCTCAGGATGGAAATCCAGTTTGACTTTAGAGAGAAGTATATATGGTTTTTTTTAAGAGTTCTTAAGAAAATTTTGGAAAAAGTTAGAGTGAAAGTCTCTAGAAAATTAAAGATTTCATCTTCATCTTCTCTTATTGATTCTTTCTTCTACTTCTTCGCTATAGTTTTTATTTTTTTTAATCATTTAAATTCTTATAGTTTAAGATAAATTTTTTAAATTCTCATACTTATAATTATTTTTTTTTTGAAAATTAGACTCTATTGTTAATTATTTTGTAACGTTATTTTTTTGTGTTGACATAACAAATTTTTTAATTTAATTGTGTGTATAATATCAAATTTATTTTGCTAAAATTATTTTAAATTATGTCTCTCGATATTTTGTGTCTCTCGATATTTTGTGTGTCTTTAAGGGACTAAAAACAGATTTACCTTAAATTTGAGGGACGAAAAACATATTTAAGCCATATTTTTTTTATCATCGCAAATTGATTTTTAAAGTCTAATTTATTTATATATTGTTTGTGGAGGATTTCGTTTGTAGGTTCTTTTTATTCGAACTAGCACGATTTCAATTTAGGCGTGTGTGACATGACAGATTTCGCAACTTTTCAGTGATGAATTATACAAACAACATACGGAGTGAATTAAGTAGGGTGCAATTTTAGCATAACAAAATATTTATGTTAATCATACAATCAATTTCATGCATGTAAAAGTTGATGTGCATCGAATAAACAACATGTATATTGACTGCAGAAATCATATCCTTCGTTCGATGAAAACAGAATTACAATGCATAAGGATAATAATGAGTATTCAGAAGACTACACTACACTAAACTATGATACGCTATGCTAAAAAGGAAAAAGAAAGGGTGGTCAAGAAATCGTACTCAACTGTCTCGTATACACGTGAGCCTTATGCGCAGGCGAGGAGTGCTTGTGAGGTATCGTGAGTAGTGCGATTTTCGACCCTTTGCTACGAGCATGGCTCGTCAATTTATAGAGATTTGAGGGATCATAAATAACTGTATCTGGCGTGTCACGAATATGTATCCGTTTTGAACTTCCAAATCGTGGGTCACTTCATGCACATCTTTTAGTAACTTCCGGAACCACTTATAACCCCCTAAACTGCTCTGGAGTCTGATTCTTATCCCTTCGATTTACTTCGACCTCCCTTAGTCGTGTCTGCCCTGATTTCTTCATTTTGAGAGGTTACGAAGTATACTCATGAATGTTCGAGTCCCTGGGATTTCGAGTGATTCACGAAAAATATACTCGAGTGTTTCCTGATTCTTCTTGTACTTTGAGAGGTTGCGAAGTTGTGAAGCCTTTTCATGAGTGGCAGCTTCAAGAATTTCGAGTGCTTTACGAAAGATGTATTCGAGTTTTCCTGATTCTCCTTGTACTTCGTATGTTTCCAATTCTAGAACTTCTTTTTTGTCCTTTTTCTGATCATCTTTAATTTTGAAAGTCCTCGTATTTCAAGTATTTCCAAATTACCTTTTTTGGTACTAACATATATAAACTTTTAAAATATATTTTATAAACTCAGTTTTAAAATCTTAATTAATTACATGATGTATATATAACTTCATAATGGGGTTTGGGACTTATCTATTCTCCCTGGTCCACACAATTCTAATGGAAACGTTGCTATATCCTCCAAATTAGATTCCAAATCACCCTCCGAATGATTAAAATATTAATATCTTTTAATAAATTTATTATAAAATAATTATTTAATTTAATATTTGATTTTTGAAGTCAATTTTTTAATAATTCAAAACAAGTTTCAATATATTCATTCGGAAGATACAACAGTTAGTCTTAACCTTACACGGCAGAAAAGGTCTTCCTATTGCTGCAAGAGTCTTTCTTATAAACTCTACCTTTCATCACTATGAGCATGCTGTTATTGGATCTGTCTTTAACTAATATAGTTTATACATTTATTTGGGAAGGTATATATCGACGTCAACTTCAAGATATTTTAGAATACATTTATTTAGGAGGGTAATCACTCTAGTACATACCGACCCCAGTTTCAAGATATTTTAGAAGGAAAATGCTGCACCCTCAGAAAGAATCGGCCAAAATTTCTTCCAAATTATTAAAAAAATTAATTTAAGTAATAAAATATTAAATTAAATAATTATTTTATAATAAAATTATTAAAAATAATAATATTTTAATAATTTGGATGATTTCGGCTTGTGTAGCATTACTCATTTTAGAATAGTGATTTTAGGGTAGTCGAAGACCCTAGTTTAAAGTAGGCAAAACTTGTGTTTTTCTCGACACACTTTTCCAAAGTATGAGTTAACCACCTATATATTATTAGTGTAAAATTTTAGTAACTAATTATATCTTTTAATTTACTTTTAACAGTAACATGACACAATTAAGAGATATAATTGGTTGCTAGTGTAAAATTTTACACTAACAGTATATAGGTGATTAACTCATATAGTATTATTGAATGTCGATAAATGGTAAGTAACCCTTTTTAATGATTTAGGATATATGAGACTTGAATTTTTTTTAATACATTCTCTCAAACCAAATATTATTATAATTAATTTATTTAGAATGGTTCTAGATAATTCATCTTAAAATGGTAGATTTAAATTTCTTCCAATATTTTTCTTAAATAAACATTAATCACAATTCCCTATTTCTTAATTAGAACATTTCCGTTGTCTTGTTGTAACATTATGAATGATTATTATGTTCATGCTTTGTCCTGTGAAGTGTAATCTTGATAACATTATCTACTACTTAAAGTTGAGTGTACTATTTATTTACACGTAGATGCATTGAATTTAGAAGAATGCTATTAACATATTAATTTATACTATAAATATTTCTTTCACTAATTCATTTTAATAAGACTATTTTAATTCTCTTAACTAGATACTTTTAATATTATTTCTCTTCATTTCTTTGAATATGAATTTACATATTATTTTCTTAACTAACTAAAAGAATTCTTACTAAATTATCTCAACTTATATTCCTTATCTTTAGATGCATAAATGAATTTCTTAATTTTTTTAACTTTTTATCTATTATATTCTATCTCTACTCTTCGATTTAATTATAATATTTAAAAAAATTTATCAATAACTAAAAATAATTAATATCAAAACAAATTATTGATTATAAATTCTAATTTTAGTTTATATATTTAAATTCATTTACTTATTATGAATTTTAATTATTAAATAATTTAAATATTAAAGATATTTTTAATTTTTAATTACATATAAAAAGACTACAATATCACTTTTTAAAAATAAAATCTCTTTATA